GATATTATAATATTTTTATATAATAAAAAAAAAAATTCTAAGTAAAGAAATTTAGATTCGCAACCTTCAACGAGAATTATTTTTCATTTCTGAACTTTTTTAAAACAAGCAATATTCTACCTTTTTTAATAAGCAACTTTTATTATCTTTCTAAATAATTTTGTTTAGAAACACTTTTAAAACATTTATTTAGGCTCACTTTGTAATATTAAAAAATTTTAATTTAGCCTCATTTTTTATTTTAATTTAGTTTCAATTTATTTAAAATACTTAAATGTGAACTTTCATCTAAACATAAACTTTAGAAAGACATATGGTTTTAGTGGGATCACACTGGATTTGACTATTTGCTAATTTATCCTTTAGGCTTTGTTTGGATTTGAGGATGAAAAATGGGGAGTGGAAAAGGAGAGATTTGAAGGGAAAGTGAGTGAAAAATGAGGTTGTTTGGATTAAGGGAAAGTGAGTGGAAAGTGTAGAGAAAATTTGTAAAAATTTGTGAGTAAATTGATTGATGTGATAGATAAAAATAAATTTTTAATTGATGATTTTGTAAGATTACTATTTTGCCCTTATGTTAAAAAAAGTTTATAATCATTATAATTAAAAGATAAATATAAAAATTTTAACTAAAAAAAAAAAATGGGTATTACAATGTGCACCTATGTTATAAGATATCTTTTATCCAGAATGTGTGATGACTCATTATGTTGTTATATTATCATATTTTTGGGTTGTTTAGTTGTTATATTATTGAGTGGTTGATAAGCTACGTCATCTATATATTAAGTTGGAAATGATGATGAATTATATACCATGTTGTACGTCGTCACGTACTTTAACTAGGAATTCTCCTACAACACAAGGTGAGTAGTTTAAGTGGCTTGACTATATCGAGCCAACAACACAATGTAATTTTTTTGGCTTGTTAAATCAATAACAAATTTGGATATCAATTCACAACACAACAACTTAGTTTCTTGGATGTCTCCACTTAAACAAGAAAGCCTAATACCATTGTTAGGATAAAACAACTGGGTTTGGGCTACCACGACATTAGCTAACTTAACTAAGTCATGTGAGACCCCTTTTATTCCTTTTTCTTTTCTTCCCCGGACTCTTTCTCTTTTCCTTCTCACCCACTTGTTGACTCACTTTCTTGCTCACTCTCAACTCTCACTCTCATTTCTTACTTGCGGAATTCTTCTTGGTGGTTGTGGTGGTTAGGTGCTGAGTAGATTTTGAGAATTTGCGGAGGCACGAATTTCCTTCTTCCTTCTCCGTTCTCCATTTCTTTCAAGCTTTTCCTTCTTCATTTTCTTTTGCCCGGAGCTCGGAATCTTCTACCGAGGTAAGGGAAGTTAGTTTTGTTGCATTTTGGCTGAAAACGAGTTCTAGAGACTCAAATTGTTGGTTAATGATTGATGATCCTTGATTGTGATTGCTGAAAATGAACTTTGGGGGTTTTGGGGGTTCTTGAAAAATTTGGGTTTTTCTTGATTGTTGCATGCATGGGTGAAAAGATAGTATTTTTGGACTCTACGATGAAAATGTGGCATTTTGGCTGGTTTGCATGTGTTGGATATGTGAAGTTTTGCAGGTTTTGGGGCAATTTTCGAACTTGGGGAAGCTGCTGTTGAGCTTCGCACTGGGCTCTGTTCTTAGCGCCGGGCGCGAGACCACCAGGAGACTCCATTTGAGCAATCCCGCCAGGCGCAATGAGGTATGCGCCGAGCGCGCTTGAAAATGGGAGTCTCTAGCTGGCCCTCGCTGGGCGTGACTTGATCTGCGCCGAGCGCGATGACAGTTGTGGCATGTTTTGGGTTATCTGGTGCCACACTGGGCGCGCGTTTGGACTCGCTGGGCGCGGAGGCTCCTTGGGAGTCTTTGCCAAGAGGGCGTTGGGCGCAGTGAAATTGCGCCGGGCGCGAGACCTTGGTAGGTCTCTGCCTTCCCCACGCTGGGCACGGGTTAGGCCACGCCGGGCGCGTGAGACTCCTTAGAGTCTCTGCCTAGGCTTGCACTGGGCGCAATTAATATTGCGCCAGGCGCGTGAGAGCCTTGAGCTCTCTGGCTGGGTCACGCCAGGCGCGAGTACCCTTGCGACAGGCGCGCTGGCCCCTGGTGCTCTCTGGTTGTGCCACGCCGGGCGCGACCATGAGTGCGCCGGACGCATATGATGATGATGATTTATATATCAATAGTTGTTAAACCTTGCTGAAATTTTAGATAGATGATGTTTAATGCTGAGTTAAGCTGAAAATTGTTGTTAAGCGGAAATAGATGAATATAGCGGTGCTGAACTGGGCTGTTATTGAGGATTTTAAATGTTGTATCACATGTTATTGTTGTGCTCTAGAATGATGAGCTGAGTTGTGAGTAGTAGGCTGTGTTGAATACTACTTAGCTGTGTTGTATGCTGATTTGCTGTGTTGTGCTGTATACTGATGTGCTGTGCTGTGAGCTGTTTAGCTATATGCTATGTATGGCCACTATTGTGGTGCTGTTATAGCCGCTATGTCGGTGCTGTTATAGTCACTATTGTGATGCTGTTATAGTCGCTATGTCGGTGCTGTTATAGCCACTATTGTGGTGCTGTTATAGCCGCTATGTCAGTGCTGTTGTTAGCCACTATTGTGGTGCTGTTATAGCCGCTGAGCGGTGCTGATATTGCTGAATTGCTGTGGTGTAATATAAGTTGTGCGGATGTGCTGATAGCTGTAGATGTTTTCTATTCACATATTTATATATGTATGTTTATTTCTTTACACTAGCTTACCCTCTGTTGTCTCCATGATGTTTGGACTACAATGATCATACTATGTATGGGAGCAGAGCAGGGATAGGTTGGTGGCTGATGGTGAGTCTGTAGCTGACAGACGAAGCTGATCTGATTTGGATCTTTTTGTTGTTTTAGTTACCGAGTAGAGTAGCTTTGTTGTATTTTGTTGTACACTCTAACTCTAGTCGGATTGGGACCTTGTATATATATATATTCTAGATCCTATATTATATACTTGTTCTATCTGTCTGGTGTTTTTGGTGTGCTGTGCCACGTGTAGTGACTAGCTGGGTCGTTACAAGTCACATATAGAATTTGTCTGTCAACTACCCTCCAAATACTATGCCCTTCTGATATTCGGTTAGGAACTAAGTTCCTGACTTTATACTTTACTTAATTGGTTATTTTATATACATGTGCCTTGACCTTGCTTATACATGGTACCAACTAAGTCCTAGAGATTCAACACAACAATTTTCTTTAAGGGTCAACTTACCAATAAGAGTTTTCAACAAATTGGGTTCTTAGAGTATTAAAACACAATATTCACATAATAGAATATGCAACTTTAAAAATCTCTCCTATAGTCATAAGTTGGTCATTACAACCTAACAACACCATGCATAAAGCATTCACAACATTCATCATCTCAACAATACAACAACATCATACATAAAACATATTTTCATCATCTCAACAATATAACAACATCATGCATATAACATATTTTCCTCATCTCAACAATATAACAACGTCATGCATGTAACATATTCAACATAGCTACATAATCACACAACTCTACAACTCAACTTTCAGCTAGCAACTTACAACACAATCATAATCATACAACAAATCCACTTTCAACATATGAATTTCATTATCATGCAACATCATTAATACAACTCATCCATCATTATTTAGTCGTGAAACAACTCAAACAAAAATATTCAACATACAACTCATTCATCAAGTGAGCCACCAACTCAATTAGAAAAGAAAATATTTTACTAAGTTTTCACACTGAGTATGAAATCTCACGCCCAACTTTAGGCTTTTAGAGAGTTATAAACAAAAATTTCAAGTTCCCACACTTAACCTCAACCTTCTAAAGGCACTTCCCAATTCTTACACTAAGCATGAAAACCCATGCTTATCCTTATAACTTAGAATTTTTAGCATTAATGAAGAATATCCCAAAACTCTAATTTTTCTCAACTTATGCAATAACCCATACATGCAACCTCAAAACCTTTCAATTTTCACAACATCCATCTTATAAATCAAAGAAGAAGGGGCATGCAACAACAACATACTAGGTAGATTATCAATTTCTTACTCTTCATCTAGAACATTCAAAACCCCAAATCTCCTTACAACCCAACTCAAATTGATTAACATAGTCATGAATTTCAAAGAAATGTACACAACATATAACTCATACTTCACTGCACAACTCTGTTTCTCAATCAAAACTAGAAAAATCCAGCTTCCTTTACCTTGGAATGTAGTGAAATTGGGGAAGAACTTCAAGCTACTCCGAGATAGAAGAAGAGAAAAATAAATAAATGGGCTTCAAGATCCAATAACACAAGCTTTATACCTATATCACAGAATTCTTAAATTGCCTTGAATCACCACCAACTACAAAATCTCAACTATAAGGCTCCCAAACATCTCAGAGAAGAAGCAAATAAAGTCTCCTATGATTGAAAACATGCTTGATGTCTAGAAATGCAACTTCACAATTAATTGGAACATAAGAGAAGAAAGAAAAAGATTTATGCTCCTCCTCATCCTACTGGAATCCTTCAACAAAACAAATTAAACTAAAAAGAGAGGTGACTCAACAAATACAATGTTACAATATATTTAAAAACGTTCTATTAAAATCAAACATGTATTTTTTTAAAGAATCACGGGCAAACATCTTAAAAAAATTAATCAAACAAAATTTATCAATTCCTAAAAAAAAACAATTATTATCAAGTATGAAAAAAATTTCCCCTGCCTACCATATGCTCCTTCCATTAATTGTTTTTAAGAGAAGTTTAGCTTACAAGCTCATGACAAATAAAGAAAAATGGCATTTTAAATAAATGATCATTGATTTAAATGGGATTTAATCAACTGAATAGCATGATAAGAGAGAACGTACTTTTTGAAAAAACAACAGAGAAAAAAGCACATATTTAAAAACAGGGCTTCATTGAAATCAAACCATATGAAATGGAGACAATCTAAATTAATCTTAAAATAGTAGGTATAAATTGAATTAGCGAAAATCCAACATTGTGCAGAAAGTAATTTGACTCGACAGGGATTCAGATTTGTTCTTTTGTTTTACCTTGAATTGTTGAAGCCGAAGAAAAAGAAACGAAGGCGAGATTGATTTCATTCGTTCCCAGTTGGCGGCACCATAGCTAACAAACACACAATTTGTCATTCACTATTCCACCGGATCGGAGCCGAACCATGCTATCCGGTTCCGAACCAGATCGAAACTCGCCAAGGCTGGGTCCGAGCCGCCTCTCCAATTCCCGCAGATCCCACTCTTGTTCCTGGTATCGAAGGAGACGAGCCAAACTCCTTCTGGCGCTTATTTCGTTGCTCGCTTCCTTTTTCTTTGTCAATTCGTTTATGCTTCTCCGCTTACAGCATCAACCCGATCCTATTTCCAAACCTACACTCCGTTCCCCTCAGGTCCCTGCCATGCTAACTTTATTATAAATATTTCAAACACTTATATTTCTCTGCCTCCCAATGAGTTTGTTCCGACATTTTCAGGTGAAATGGAACAAGGCTGGAAATAAGAAAAAATCACAAAAGGGGAATTACGTAAGGATGCTGGCATTGGCTTCACATGCTTTGGCAGAGGTATACGTACACACATATGTCTATGTGCCTAATTAATTATAGTTTTGTTTTGGAATCATTTCAAATTATTTGATTTTGACAGAGCAAGTTTTTAGCAACTCTGACTCCTTCTGTCCAATGCTACAGAATAAACGCGAACCGAAAGATTTGTGGCAGGAACCTTTTCTTCCTGCTTCTGCCTGGAGACCTTGTGCTGATGACCGGAATTGGGAACCTAATGGTATGTGTGCTTGCTTATAGTTATACTATTTAATTCGACTGCAATGATAATGTCAATTTTTTTTTTTTGGATTAAGATCCTCTAAAGTTTTGAAAATTTTCAAAAACTGCATGGATCTCTGTCATTCCTTTAATTTATGACCGCACTAGTTGCACTTCTCTTTCAAACTGCAGCAGATCCATTCCTTTTTTTTTGTTGACTTTAATAATTGTTACTTTAAAAATCTAACCTGTGATAATTTTTTATTGATCAATTGGATTAAAATGTTTGCACTGATAATGCGTGAAAACTAAACTCAATCTTATTGTTTATATTATGTATATGTGCAAGCGTAACTACAAAAAAGAAAAAAGTTAAAGCTGATACTCACTGCCTGTTCTTTTATACTGTACTCCATTAGAGGGAAAGAATGGATACATTTTGGTTACTGCAAATGGCGGGATCAATCAACAACGAGTAGCTGTAAGTATTTTTTGTTGCACTATGATTTTATGTTGCTGCTTTTGAATTTATTGGGTTTTGGTTGATTTTAACATGGAAAAGCTTAAGTTTTATATTTTGGTAGTTAGCGTGTCATTTATGTTGGTTTTGATTTGCAACAGGTTTGTAATGCTGTGGTTGTGGCCCGATTACTCAATTCAACTCTGGTTGTCCCCCAATTTATGTACAGTAGTGTATGGAGAGATGTGAGGTAATTCTGCTGTCTTATCTCTCGTTCTTCTCCCCTTCCACCTTGGCCTCCTACTCCCATAATATTCTTTTGTCTTCTTTTCCTAATGTCTAATTTATTTTATATAAAATACGTATGGGCTTTATGAGTAATTTTGTAGGTTGAACATGTAACTTAATACGTAAGAGCAACAATTATTAGGATTTCTAGGTTTATCTTTTGTCTAGAATTGTTTCAATGCCACATTTGCAGTCCATGGGCCTTCTTTTTTGATGTTGCGGCTTTGTCTACATAACTTATAATTGCTTATTGTATATTTTCATAGTCAATTCAGCGATATCTATCAGGAGGAGCATTTTATTAACTACTTGACTCCTGATATTCGGATAGTGAGGGAACTTCCTAAGGAGCTGCAATCTTTGGACTTGGAGTCAATCGGTAGTGTCGTAAGTCACACACCCTAGCCCCTCAAGTAAACTGATTAATCTTGACTATTTTACCATGTTTGTATTTAATTGTTGGAATGCTCTACCAGGTGACAGATGTTGACATGGGGAAGGAGGCCAAGCCAAGTTTTTACTTGAAACACATCTTACCTATTATACTTAAAAATCAAGTCATTCACTTTGTTGGATTTGGGAATCGCTTGGCATTTGATCCGATATCATTTGAACTGCAGGTAAGTGTTCTTTGAAGCAAACAATTACAATATGATTTTCATGATCTCAAGCCCTTCAATGCTATACTTTTACCATCTTTCTTGATCTGAATTCTGAAGCCTTACTATGCTCTTCCTAATTGGGGAAACTTCATATAGAGACTTCGTTGCAGATGTAATTTTCATGCCCTACAATTTGTTCCCAGAATACAAGAAACTGGTGCTTTGCTTCTTAAAAGATTGCGTGAACAATCAGATCTTATTGGACCATTGGACCATTATCTTGTTGGGCAATTTGCAGAATCAATTAAGGAGAAAAATGGAAATAATGGCAAGAAAGCATCTAAATACCTAGCTTTGCATCTCAGGTTTGAAATTGACATGGTAGCTCATTCTTTATGTGAATTTGGGGGAGGTGAAGAAGAGAGGAAAGAATTGGAAGCATATCGTGAAATTCATTTCCCTGCATTGTCACTACTGAAGAGGACTACAAAGTATGCATCATAATCTTTCCATCTGAAACTCTTTCCCCCTTATGCTACAGTTGGAAAACTTGGTCTACACACTTATCTTTTTTAACACAGCAATTTTAATTTATGAAGAAAAGAGCCTTACTCATTAAAAACAATTGGAATCTTCTATGCAGATTACCTTCTCCATCTGAGCTCAGGTCTGAAGGCCTATGTCCTTTGACACCTGAAGAAGCCATCCTTATGCTTGCTGCTCTTGGTTTTAACCGCAAAACACACATATTTGTAGCTGGTTCTAACTTGTATGGAGGTCGCTCACGATTGGTTTCTTTGACAAGCTTGTACCCTAAGTTAGTCACCAAAGAGAACTTGCTTTCTTCAGCTGAACTCGAACCATTTGCTAATTATTCCTCTCAGGTTCGTTGCTAACTTGCTAATGTCATTATTGTTTCATATACATTGATGATTTTACAAATATAATTAATTGTTACAAGAAATCTTCTTTTGTGCTTTACGTGACATTGCTCTTCATATTTATTATTCAACTTTTGGCATTATTTGGGCGTGGATACCTGCTCTATCTCTCTTTTCGTGAACATGATTACTGAAAAGAATACTGATTTTGTTTTGCTTCTACTATTAGTCTTTTGATGAATGACTATAATCTGTTTCTGTTGTAGTTAGCAGCACTGGACTTCATAGGCTGCACTGCTTCGGATGCATTTGCCATGACTGATTCAGGAAGTCAGCTATCATCTTTGGTGTCTGGGTATCGAATATATTATGGTGGCGGAAAAATGCCAACAATACGTCCTAATAAACGTAGGCTTGCTAGTATATTTATGAAGAACAATACCATAGAGTGGCGTGTTTTTGAACAGAGAGTGAGGAAAGCAGTTAGGCAAACAAAACACGTACAGACAAGGCCAAAGGCAAGAAGTGTTTACAGGTATCCTAGGTGTAAAGAATGTATGTGCAGGACAGATTGATTTATTTATAATAGGTTGACTGTAATTGCCCATTGTAGTTGTAATTTGTAACGACATTGTTGTTCATTATACCCATTCAATTTTTTTCCTTTAGTTAGCCCGTGCCATTATAACTAGGAAAACGTTTGATGGACACTAGAGTTTTTTTCCTTTAGTTAGCCCGTGCCATTATAACTAGGAAAACGTTTGATGGACACTAGAGTGCTAGTATACACCTAGAAATAGAAGAATCAGAAGTGGTAGATGTATAGGTGATATGATGTGATTACGAAACCACCTCCTCAAGGTTGGGTTAAACATAATACAGATGGCTCTTTGATTTGTCTAACCATTGGGTTTGCGGTAGCCTTCAGATTGCGGGGGTATTTTATGGGACCATGTGGGAGATTTTGTAGTAGCCTTCTCAAGAAATTCAGGCTTTTGTTCGGTCTTATGGGGGAACAGGGAACTTTAACGGTCTTAATTTGGCTTCTCCACGTGGATTTCATATAACTACTGTTGAAGTTGATTCTCAGAATGATGTGAAGTTGATTTCTAAGGGATGTGATAAATTATTACACCCATCCTATTAACCAGTTAAGCAATATCCATTGTAAAACATGGTGACATTTTTTGTCGTGAGACTATCTTTTATTTTATATACAAATTATTTAAATATATAATTTAAAAATATACACATAACTTATAATAGAATGTTATGCCAATATCAAAATTAAACTCAAGATTATCATAACAATTTGGGAATAATGTTCCCATTTAGGTAGTTTGGAAATAATTACTTTTGTAAGAAAGCCCGTTTCCAATCGAGCTAATAACCTGAATCTTGTAATACCGCAAATTTGATCTTCGTTACATTGAAACTGGCAAGACTGACAATGTTATTCGTACAATGTGGCTCAAATTTCCTGTCAAAACAATTTCACCAAAGCTATAATTCTTCATTGGTTGGATGACACTGAGTTGTATTTCCAGATCTTGTGATCCTTGTGGACTTATGGTAAACCAAGTTGGGTGCAGGTCGACTATAATTCCATTTGGAGGTATAACAGAGCCCAAGTACGTCTCTGTCTTGCTCCCTACACTCATGAAAGTTCTTCGCACAGAAACTGATCCTCTTAGGGCAGATATTGTTACTGAAGGAAGGTTTAGACTGAATGGATAGTCAAATGGGTGATTGCATTGCTCTCCAGTAGCTGTGATTATTACATCCGTGTCTATGTTTGGCAAAGAGCACAAAAAGCTGATGAAGTCTTCATGTTCTGTTTTAGGACAAATGAATATTTAGGTTGCTTTGAGTAAAAGAACTAAGCTGATTAAGCATTCAATTCTCTGGCTCTGCTACTTAACTAGGAATTACATACCTGATGATAGTACCAAACCTGGATCAATGGCACAATTGGGGCTCACAAAGCCTGCCCCATAATCAAAAGGAGTGGAGGGAAGCAAGCTGTTGGCCTCAAAGCCTTCAGCCATCATATGGTCCCCAAGATTATCATAATTTGAGCTTGTTGTGGAGATTGCAGATGCTATCATAGATGGAGTCCATAATGGATTGTATTGCTTGATAAGTGCTGCTATTCCAGCCACATGAGGTGTGGACATGCTGGTACCAGATAATAATGCAAAATTGTGCCCTGTATGAGTTGGTAGTAAGAGTTAAATATAATTTGTGTGAACTGATTTTGCTTTTCCATCACTGACAGGGGAAGGGAGAGGATTTTCTACCTTTCAGCATAGGTTCTGAGGCACTAACAGGGCTCCAGGCTGCCCATATCTGGTGCCCTGGAGCAAGAACATCAGGTTTAAGCACATCTGCAGGATTTTTGTTGATGTCAATGATATCTGGACCCCTTGAAGAAAATCTACTAACTACAGGTGATCTCCCTGTGAAAGTGGCAACTCTTCCTTCTCCCACAGCTGCCATAGCACCAAATTCTGTGGCAGTTCCTTTATTATCCCTCTTTGTTTGTTCTTCATAATACTGTAATATAACCTACACTATCAAGCAGCCTTTTCACTTATCTGATTGCAAAGTTTCAGTTAAACAAATGATAGTAATAACACTTAAGTCCTCCAAATTTGTACCTTGGTATCATCTACATGAGGGATCAAAATACCAGAAACAGCAAAAGGGATTGGCTCTGCAATATAATCACCATAGCTTGGGTTCGCAACAAGAATAAAACCCTCTGTTCTTAGAGCCTTTGAGGTGCCAATAATAGCAGCAAGAGTTGAGGTTCCATTATAGAAGCCAGTTGAGAAGTTGCAGATAATGATACTTCCCAGCACTATATTAGGGTCCAAAGCTTCTGGATGTTGGCACTCCTCTATGTACTCCGGAGTCATTGGGTTTGTTCCATTTATTTTTACCGCATCTTTAGCTAAAACAAGCTTATGGAAAACTGATCCATTTCCAAAAGTTGGACCTGTTGATGAGGATCTCAAATTTTAAGATCATTTGGAAGTGCTAAAACATAGACAAAGTATAGGGGGCATATAAGGATTGTGTTAAGAGCTAGAGCTACCTGATAGTCCCACTCCACTGAGTATTGAGCCATTTCTAAGAAGAAGTGAAGCAGGGTACTTTCTGTCTGTGGTGCTAGCGGCTACACCCACACTCCAGGGACTGAATGACACTACACTTGAAGAAGCTGGACCCTTGTTACCTGCAGCTTGCACCACGAAAACTCCCGCTTTTCGTGCAAATAACAAAGAAATATCAAACATGTTCAAGAAGGTCAACCTGTCTTCCGCTGGTTCATTTGGTCCAACAGAGAGCGATAAGATATTCACCCCATCCAAGACAGCCTGCGGAAATCAAACAAACTATGAAGTTTTAGAAGCTATTCTATTTCACTCTTTCCTTGAAGATTGTAGAATTTGTCTCTAATCTCTATAAACCACTCCACTCCATTCCTTTTAAAAATCCTGAGCGTAGCCTGAAGTTGAAGAAAACTTGTATTCCACTGTAAAAGCCAACTTCAATGAATTGTTTTCTTCATGGGATCCGCCAGAGCCATCACTTCCAAGTACAAACAAGAAATGTATCCGGCCATTTAAACCCCATTCCCTATCCCTGAAAATTTCACATTAACATCTACCTGCTTTCATTCTCTCACCATTTCTTGTCTCTTTTTAACATTTTGGATTGCTGTTATTACTATTATAACCCAAAGGGACCAATACCAACATAATGTTATTGTCAATTAACTTGCTAGTTAGGAAAATTTTCTCTAAATAACACGTCCCACAATATTCTTGAATAATTTGAGATGCTTAAAGGATCTAATCAATTTGAGAACGGAAGTGACACTTACGTGATCGATAGCTGCAATAACGTCTGCCAGAGTTCCCCCGGAGGGATAGACAGCCTTATATACCGCAATCCTGCAAAAGAAACAAACATTCATAACCACACAAATGTCATATATACACATCAATTTGTGGTGTAAATCGAGAACCTCCCATATATAAATGATACTAGTATACAAAAGCAAACAAATTAAATACCCGTAAAATTAACAACAGCAGAAAGCTGACCTTGCACGTGGTGCAATTCCGCTAGCTTGCCCATAGAGAAACCCATTCACCACGACAGGAACATCAGCATTGCCGGCAGCAATAGATGCCACATGACTGAAACCATAGAAAAAAAGCACACATCTTAATAACCGATACAATAGTTGCCCATGTGTAATGGTTGATAACAATTAATTAATAAGAATATATACTCCACCTGCCATGTCCATCTGCATCAAACGGTGAAAGAAAGTCCTTTGAAGCATTAAGGGTAACGGTAGCTTCAGCCCCAGCGGAGAAGTATCTCGCTGATACTATCTTTCCATTGCAAGAACATGGTGGGAAGAGAGGACCAGTCTGACAGGCACCCTCAAAACGAGAGAGATTGGAAGTGAAAGGGTGCATGGGATCGTAAGCAAAGCTGGGATGAAATGGGTTGATGCCACTATCCACTAAACCAATAACAACTCCGTCACCAGCGTTTCTGTCACCTCCTTCTTGCGCCCATATTCCGTTTGGTAAACTAAGAAACTCAGGTGTGTATGTTGTCGTCATTTTCGCTCCTTTGTCTTTCTCTACCAACTTAACTCCGGGACGACCTCTTAGTCTCGCGGCCTGAAAATTTTGGTCACCACCCCCATGCACGTACGTAATAAAAACCAATTTTTCTTTAACATGTACATATGCCTACTCAACAAATATTATTATTGTTGCCTAAAAAAAACACTAAATTAACGAGAAACGTACTAGAGTAAACTCATTTAAATTTAGGAGATCAAATTGAAAAATAAAATAAAATAAAATAAGTAGGAGAGGACCTGGGAAGGGGTTGTGTGGACAGAAAAGCCATTGATAATGTGTTTGTAACTGTGGAGTTTATTGTAGCTTCCAGTCTCTAAGGTACTTTGCAGAAGTAGATCGTGAGATGCCAATAAGTGCTTTGCATGTGCCTTCGAGGCTTCACTGATTAGCCACACAAAACACGCAAGAAGCAAAAATATGGTCAGGTTTGTTAAATAAAGGAATTGATGACTGAAGTAGATAAAGGAAATAGCATAATGGTCTGTAATTAAGGACTAATTTATATAGCTAGTTTCATTCAAATTGTGGTGCAAAGTAGCAGTGCATTTAAGTTTTGGTGAATAATAACAATTAACTGAATTAAGGAAAGGAATATTGCCCCGTTTTATGTTTAAACATGGCACAAGCTGATGACCAGACAAAAAAAATGACATAAGCTGATAAGTGATAACCAAACAAAATAAAACAAAAAATGTCACAAGCTGATCACTAAACAAAATAAAAGAATAAAAAAAAATCCACAAGCCTTTTTGTGACCAATAATCCCTAGTGGACTGTGATTTCAACCATTATTAGTTCTTGGATTTTTAACCATGCATTGCTTTTCTAATTAATTGCAATATTATTTTCTTAAATGATTAAGAATAATTAATATATAAGTGTTAAACAGTAGTAAAGCCGTGTATCACAACTCGAATTAAAGGAAAAGGAGTAAATAAAATATGTCTTTATATTCCAAAATAAAGACTAAAACATATAAGAAAGTCTAACACATTAATTAGTCCTTAAACTTTTTTGACAATTTTCACGATTCATTAGATCCTCAATTTTTTCTTTTATATTTTTGTAATTAAAATTCTAAGGATAATTTTTCACGATTTCAAATCGTTACAAAAGTAACACTTTGTGACAATTTTACTGACTCTAAGGATCTGATAATAAAAATTGTAAAAAAAAATAAATTAAAGATCTAATTACAAATTATTTTATTTTAAAAACTTAATTAAAAATTCTCAAAAAAAAATATAGAGATATAGAGATGTAATAAACCATATAAGAATAATTTTTTGAAGAAAAAAAATGATATTCAACTTCGATTTCTGTTTTCACATTGGGTATGGATAGACAATTTTTTTGTGTGCCTGAAATAAAAAAAATAAAAAAAAAAGATTCACTCATTAATTGTATCAGGAAAAACAGATATTAATTGTGGGTGTGTGGGGATTGATTGTCATGTGAGAATAAATTGAAGTGTCATATTCATGTATACTAATTCTATATTAAGTTATTAACCTGTTGGGGTCAATTGTGGATGAATGTTGGTCCCTTGAACCTTCATGAAAAGCAAGCGCGTCTCCTTCCAATAAGACCAAATATATTGATCGGTCTTCTTGAGTTATAGCAACAAAGAACATGGAAATGAAAATGCTTAGGGATGATAAAGCTATGGAAGCAACACTCCTTTTGGCCATTGTTGCAACACAAACCAGAATTGTTTTAACTTGCATTTTGAGTAATGGATGGCAATGATTCTTATACGTGGTGCCAGCAAAGGTAACCTCACTGTCAACGTGAATAAAGATTTCAGTTTGGCATTGTAAGCAAATTTAGCATGCTTTAGTCCAAGCGTTACTATATCTTTCCATTCAAAGTCTGTTGGGAGTATTTAGTAGTTTACCTTTTACGTCATTTGTCTCAACAAATGCATGTGGCCTTCACGCAAGCAAACAAGCACACACAAAACTTTAGTCTTAAAAACAGGAAACCCTCGTTACTTAGTCCATTCAATTCAAACAGTTTCTTTTGGTAGTTAGAAGAGTTTGATTATTTTCTGTTCTGTGCAATGATTTGGTTAAAAAATAATTGTCTTGAATTTCCTTTTAAAACTATAGAATTTTATCTAAATATATTAGTTTTTTTTTTCTTTTTCAAATTAGCCCAACCATGCATGCGGCTTTCCTATAGTCATTTTTACAACTTAGCTAGAAACACTGAGGTTGATCAAATAGTGAGAGATAAAGTGCGAAGTCTTATGTTCTAATTTTGGTGTGATGATTATACATAAAAAAAAAAAAAAAAACTTTCAACTTATTAATATGCATAAAATTATGTATTAAAATATTCACTTATTCGATATCTGTTAAACTCTCTAAAAAAATTGTTTTTATATTCGACTGAGTATAATTCTTGATAATGAATATTAAAAATAAATTCACAAAAAATAATTATATTCGAGTTATGTAAGATCGTTACCAAAAATAATTATATTAATAATAAATAATTTAAATTGTAAAATAAAATTATTTTTAACTATTATCATATTCCTTAAAAAAAATTGTAATATAGACATAGGAATAAAAGTTGGATGACTGTAATATAATAAAATAATATTGATATATTGAAATGTACAATGAAAATTCATTTAAAATATTAAAGAAATAAAATCAATAATTGATAGGAAAACATTTTTACAATAAATATACTTATAAAAATAATGTTATCATCATCCTTATATAATACTATTTTTATGAAATTGTTTGTCTCATTTTAAAAGAATCTTTTTAAATTATCTCTTGTATTTATCAATTTTTTGACCAAACTATACTTATTTACTTTATAATAAATATTATAAATTAATAAGATAAATTTACCCAGATTCTGATAAGGATTAGAGATGATATAATATATTTTTCATTCAGCAAATAATATAAGTTTTTATAATATTAAAATAAATAAAGATGTATTAAAAAGTGAGAAAAATGAAGTTTAAAAAAAAAGATAAAAGTTATTGTATGGTGATATTTATTATAAAAAAATACATTAAATAATATAATATATAATTAATTTACTCAAAAAGTATCATTTTATTAAATAAATTGATTATTTATTAATTTAAAACTAAATTTAACATTAAAATAAGAATTTTGAAATAAAAATAATTAACACATACACAGTAATGTTTTATATAAAATAGGCTAAAATAAACTTTTGATGTCTCTATTTTTAATTCAACAATTTTAGTTCCCAAATTTTATAAAACTTGCAATGAACTTTTAGTCTCTTTATTAATGTTCATGCATTGACAATTAAAATTATAGTATTAGTCATGATCCGACATTAAATATATTTCATAACAATTAAAATTTAGGCTAAATTTTCTCTTTTGTTCTCATTTTTATCTAAAAATAAAGTAACAACATGAGATGAAAATTTGATAAAAGTGAGAAGTAAAAATGCAATTTATTCTACATAATATTAAATATTAATAGTTTCATCTACTTAATGTTTGATCATCACCAATGTTATAATTTTAATGATCAACGTATGAACATTTAATAAAGGGACCAAAATTGTGAAATTTAAAACAGATACACCAAAATTACAAATTTGATATTATAAGAAAATTAAAAGTGTAATTTAGCCTATAAAATATTATTAAAGTTATAATTTTACAAGGTAGATGACCTTGTAATTGAAACAGTGAAGTTGGTAGTGAGGGTCATGATAAGGGGTGGTAATAAACCAAACTAATTTTTAAAAATAGTTTAAAATTTAATTTAATATTTAATTTATTAAATTTGATTTATGAATCAAATGAGTTAAATTTGAGTCAAAGATTGAGTTCGATAAATAAATGAGTTGAACTTAAGTTACACATAGTTAAACTTGATTTATTCATGAATCAACTAAACATATAAATATATAATTTATATAATTAACTTTTTATTTAATTTTGACTTATTAAAAGTTGAAACAACCTTCAAAGCTTAGTTATAAGTTAATAATAATAATAATAATAAAGAGTGGACACTTTAGAATTTTATAGTTATACTATGAGTTTTTTATTATTTTACTCAAGGTGAAGTAGTTTTTATTTATACAAACTTTGATTGTAATTCTGCTAATTAATAAAATAAGTTATGTTTTGCCTTTTTAAAAAATTAAACAATTATTTAATCTAGAATATATTAATAATTTAAATTTTAAAATGTATAAAATTAAAAAAATTGACTCTTAGTTCATATGATTTAAGCTAATAAACTAAATCAAATTACTAGCGAGATTAAAATTATTCGAGTTTGAGCTAGAAAAAAAAAAAGTTTATATCAATCCAACCTATAAATTGCATCAAATATTATTAAGTCAAATTATTGACCTTAGCTTGATTCAACTCGACTTATTTTCAGCCCTTATGATTAAATCCTCAAGTAATCATTTTTACCATTTTCTTTACAAATTAAAAATTATAAGAATAAAATATATAATTTAATCAAATTTAAAAAAAAAATTAAAATGAGGCCCATCAGCCCAACCTAAACCACAAAAAATACTTGAATTCATTCTAGCCTAAGTTGAATGGTTTTCATTGGTTGAGGTAACATATTTGTCCAATTCCATGTTAACTTTTTAGCTGGTGCAAGAGTTGGCCTAATTTAATTAACATGATTTTTCTGGATCACAATATTTTTATTGAGTTTGCCTAATTTCATAAAAAATGATTTTTATGGATCTCAATATTTATTATTATTATTATTATTATTATTATTATTATTATTATTTGCCAATTAAAATTTGCGTTTTCATTCCAGTATGAATTTGTCTTCCCTCCTTATCTATGTCAGTTTGATACAAAAGACTCCCGATTGACGAGACAACACATTACATAATTTCTCTCTCTCTTTTTAAAGTATTTTAATGTTTTATTATAGTTTCATGTTAGAATGATGGCTTATTTGATAATACTTTTATTTGAAATGTGATTCAGCTATTTAATGTAAAGGAATACTTAGTAGAATATGGTAGAGGAGAAAAATTAGCTAACAATATTTTGGCAAAATCGAATGACTTTTAATGAGTATGAAGACGACACTTTTATGGTAGTTTAATTTGCATTCAAAATGCCTTAAAATTATTTACATTCATAAATACAATCCAATTATATATTAACTTATATATTTGTTATATGACAAAAAAAAAACATATTTATTTGGTGTGAGATTTCCTTTTTTCCATATAAATTATGAATTTGGGATTATATATTTCATACTCACGCTGTTTGATATTTTTAATATGATTTAGAGCATAACCTCTCTTTCATTAGTCCGATGGACTATTCAACTATATATTTTACTTAATTAATAATAAATGATTTTTTAAACGTTATTTTAATACAAGTCACGCTAAATTCAAGATTCCCAAACAGGTATACAAATTATTTTGTATGCAATAATATGCAGTTCTATATGTTGAATTTTAAATTTCAGTTTTCTAAAATTTAAATTATATTTATATATGTACTTGTACACCAAAGGCACATTATATGTGCACTTTTTTATATACTTATATATGTAAACTTAATAAATAAATAAAAAAAGAGGAAATAAAGTGTCCTTACAAAGCATTTTATTTTTCTTAACGATTAGAGAAGATCAATATTTTGGACAAACTGTGAAGCCCTATATATTAAATGCTTATTAAGAGGAAATATCACTATGTTAACATTTTTTCCCATCTATATGTTAATATTAAATGCATATAATGTTAATATACATTTGGGTGAGCAAAAGACAATTAAACTTGGTCAATTCTAAATAGGATTAGAACTTAAAAAGATGGCAAATAAGTCAATGCTCTCTCAAAAGTCAATTCCTAATAGCATTAAAACTTCCATGCGAAGGATCCAATTTCTACAAATAATTTCTTTTATGACAAATTATAATTGTAATAGGCCAAATTAATACATTGATACTTTTTGCAGTGATTAATTTCATTTATTTTAATAAAAACATTTTTTCAAGCTTACAAAAGAAAAATATTACACCAAAATAATCCCCAGACATATGCTCGTGAAAAAAAATGATTTGTAAAATACAGACTCAATTTGCATTTTATATATATATAGGTGATAGCCTCATTTGGCATACACAATTATTTGGACAATTTTATTCTTACAACTTTCAAATTACTCTCTGCCACTATCTCTCTTCTTCTATTTTTATTTTATATATATATATATATATATATATATATATATATATATATATATATAAAGTGGAAAAGGTGAATACTTGTAACGATTAATATTAGGATATATATCTCCTTTAATTTGTAAATATGGTTACTAACTAAAGTAACATTCTTATTACAAATGCCTTGCATTATGACACAAAACATGCTTTTGAGACCATACAAACACCAAAACGTTATTTAGAGCATTGTATGGGAGAGATCCATGGGAAAATGATTGGCCAGAACATTTTCCATGTAGTAACGTGGATTGCTTGGATCCAGCACCACAAATTGCATGTCCTCTGAAGGCTTCCAGTGCCTTTTCCTTTGATTAATAAACCAATTGTTAATTTGCTTCTGATCCAGCCCTGTTGATTCCGCAAGAGCCAGCTTCTGAGATTCCTGTAATGCATAAAATTAAGCATGTAAAACCTTAATTATTTCCCTAAAAACCTCGGCAACATGCTTCTTATATACCAAAGTACTTGATAACGTATCACTACAAGAAATAACCTCAAATGTTATTAGATGCAATCACATACAGATGGGTAAGGCCATTTGTAATGTCTGCTCCACCATTCAAGTAATTGTTGCCTTGCTTCTTTGGGGAGTTTGCCTTTTTTCCTCTTCTTTGTGAATTCCTGCTTCAAACTGCCTAGGTATCCACGGTACTTGCGCAAGAGTTGGCCTTTTAATTCTTGGTCCTCTGCCTGAGGATCTATTATGTTGTGTACATCAACATCTTCAGATGATATATTCCTATCAGTACCTTCATTACATGCTGATGATCAAATGAATCAAAACTATATATGGTAAGTACCAGAATTCACGCATCCAAATAAACATAGTACCTACATGTAGACCTTGAGACAATAGAGTAGACAACCTTATCCGATTAGAGTTAAAATTTTATTTCAATAATTAATTTTATATTTAATGAAATCATTTGTCATTCAAATTATCCAAATAAAACTTTAATTCTAAAGAAGAAACAGGTAAAATTTTAATTCTATCTGGAGAATTATCCTTTTTCATGATATATAACCAATAAAGTTAGCTAGAGATAAGTGAACAATACTTTTTAAATGTGAATGCGACAACTTAATTAATCATATTAATTAACCCTAGTCAAGCCAAAAGGAAGATTCTTTCTTTGCAGAAATGAAACACGAGGCCATTGTAAATACAGAGAAAAGGGTCGGGGGCACAAATTGATTTAATTCAAAAAGTTCATGATTAAAGCAAAACAATACACATCACTCATGGTAATTTATCTAAAATCACATGCAACAATCTTCATGCAGCCATGTTCTTGGGAGGGACCAAAGCAGTAGAAAAAAGCCATTGCCAATAGTCATGGAAGAATTAAAACCATTAAGAAATTAACAGCAACAAAAGAAATAATAAGTGAATTCCATTAAAAAAAGCTTAATTGTTAAATAACTAGAAAAAAGAAATTGCCGAGGGACCCTCTACCCAGAATAAACCCGTTAATTGAAATTTGATGAATTATTAAATAACTGGAGGACAAACAACATGGAAGTCTGTTCCTAACTTCCTATACATCAACAGAAAATTAGCGTGCACTGCTTTTGGCTTATACATAGTTGGATGTTAGAGAAAGCTTGGCTATAAATTATAATTATAAACAAGGCAGTATACATAAGCTTCCTACTATCATTCACTGTAGTCATCAATGCTTTAGCAGCAAAGTTTGACATATATATATTGATGGTTGTCACATTCAATGGTTAATTTCAATCAGCAATTAGCACCATTAGTTATAGATATTGTTGTCAGTGGCATACATTTCCAGTTATGAACACACAAATAAAGAGTATCATAATATGAAAGACACAAATCTAGTAAACAGGCAATATGCACTGCACCTGCAGACACACACATACAGAATAATGACAATACGCATAGATACACTAGTTTTTAAACTGACAAGGTCACCCACCTAAAAAAATATGAATTTTTTAGTATAGAAATAAACTATAAGAAATTTAGTTTAGCATAATCATGAGTTGTTGATATATATATATATATATATATCACAATGATGGTGAACTAAAGTTACTCATTTTTGTTTGATAATATGCAGTGAAAATGCGTTCATCTTCATCCATATTCCATAATTATTAATATTATATATTCTCGAACATCGTTTGCTAAATATCTCCTGCAACTGCCTAAAAGGACTACTTACAAGCCACTCGCTTGACTGAACTGAGCATTTGACATTTCCAACTGGACAAAATTACCAACTACCTCGCATTTAACACTCTTGACTCTTGAACACCAGTTTAAAGAAACCCTAAAATTGACATGCCAACTGCCAGACCCTCAATCGTTGGATTCACTTTAAGCATAATTTGTCTTTACATTCAGATGCAAAATCAAGCAACAGCGGAGTAGAGAGCAGTAAAAAAAACGAATAAGGAAATACAATAGTTATTTGGTAAAGACTTGCATTTCCCAAAAAATAAGGCTGAAATAATGTCAAAATCATCAACGCATGCAGGAACAGCAGAATTTATAGGATGCCAACAAAAGTTTATTCAATGCACTAACACCGATAAGAGAGTTACACAGATAGGTACCACGCCATTCACATTTTGACAGGAAAAAACACGTTTGGAGTAAGTAGCACCCAGAAGTTATGTACATACCCATGCTAGCTAGTATTTCAAACTTTCTTAAACAAAGAAAAGAGAAAGACCAGTCAATTAAACATCATTCATAATTCACAAAGATAACATAGACTGAAGGCTAACAAAAACGTTTCAACCGTTTAAAAAATAAAAGGTGGATGAAGCACCCGGAAAAATTCAAGAACAAGAAGTTCTCTTACAACTTTCCCAGAAACTACATCCTTTAAAACACAGACATGCATGGATATTCAATCAATAAATCAGACATCAAATAGACAAACACCAAACAAGAAACATTTAAAGAATGATAGGCTTAAATGGATGTTAGAGAAGAAAGCAGAAAGAAAGTCATGAATCACCGGTGTCGGAAGAAGAAATAGTAAGAGATTTGAACTGGCACTCGATCCTTTGAAGAAAAAGCATGGCTTCCTTGAAGGGTTTGGAGAGCTCTTGCTCGTACTTAATCAGCATCTCACAGTAAGCCTCCATGAACTGATCCAGCGCTGGATCCTCGCCTATGCTAGCTGTGCCACCTGCCATTGTCACTGCAGCAGATGCACATGCTTCTTCTAACCTTGCCACCACTTCAGGTGGAGCCCCAACCTGCTTGGTACGTGAATCAACTAAGTAAATTCTCATGAAGCAAATTAGAACAAGAAGCTAGGAATAGCTCAGCTAGCTATCTTTTCAAATGTTTCTTTCAAAGGGTTTTTCACTGCTACTTCAACTTTTTTTTTTTCCTTCTTAAGATATAATAATAAAGGTATTAGTATACAGGTATGAAATGAAATAATTTTTTAATAAGAATAAATTACTTCTCATGTAACAACTCAGATCCGAACATACCAAGGAGAGAAAGTTTACAAGTTAAATTAATTAAGCATCGTTTTCAATCACTGGTTGTCGATGCTTATCAACTTTATTTTCACCTGAGTGGGGAACGTTGGGTCAATGGATATCACGAGCTAAGATTAAGCTTTTGTTTTGTTTTTTTTCCTTTTCCTCTCACCTTTTGACAATTGATATAGGCTGCCAAGAGACGGTGATAGTGAGGATGGGCCATGATCTTGGCTTTGACAGCGGAAGAAGAGGAAGAGGAGCTTCCATCGTTGTTGTTGTTGTGGTGGTGGATCTCCATGAAATACCCTAACGCAGCGTTGGTGTTATGGTTATTGTCCTGAAAGATAGAGGAGTTGCCGGTGGTATTGCGGTTTGTACGGTGATTGTTATTAGTACAAGGCATGGGAAGGAAGAGAGAGTTCGTGTTTGTGTATTCATTAGGATTGGGATTGGGATTATTAAGATTAGGATTTAATGGATGATGACCAGCATGATGAGAAGTCACTAAAGGCATCATCATCATTGGACAAACCCCACTACTCCTTGTATTCTCTCCAAAGCCCATCACACTAGAAGCCTCGTTAGAACCACCCTCCATTGCCTCCTCACCAATTCACCAACACACCCATTCACTCTTTCTTTATCACCTACACTACACTAGTTCAAAATTTATCACCTAGCCACTAAACCCTTCTCTCTTTCTTTCCTCCATCTAATCTTTTGCTCCTAAGATGAGTTGTCTCTAGGGCTCCCCCGGATTTTATGCTACAAGTTTCAGAACTTTTACAGAAAAATCCAAAACAGTAATCGTTGTGCTGTAGTTGTGGTCTGTTGAAGAGGGTTTTTTCTCCACTGTGGCTAGCCTGACAAAGTCTGCACAAAAATAGGGCTTATAGTCTTTCTTAAATCTTAACGCCTATTAGCGCTTTCAGCTGAGATTGAGAGGGAGTAGTGAGAAGGAAGGAGAAAATGCACGGCAAAAGAAGAAAGGGTGAGCGAATGGTGGAAACAAAGGGTGGGGTTTTAGCTTCCCAATGAAATGAAACTCTCTCCCTCGTTTCCTGCACTGCGCCACTGGCAGAGAAAAGAAGGAGAGAGAAACAAACAGCGCAATGCAATTGTTTCTCAGCAGAGAGAGAGAGGAACGATCAAATCGAGGGAGAGGCTACAAGTAAATACTGACGATGATGGATGATGGAATAGACGAAGCGATGGATGACACGGAATCACCCTTGCTCTTTCTTGTTCTTTTCTTTTCACTTCGAACTATTACCAGTCATTTTTAATTTAAAAATAATAGATAAAATAAATAATACTTTAACAAGAAGAGTAATTACTTAAATTGAAAATATAAAAAATTGTCTGGAGTGTACTAGAGTAGTTTTCCATAATTGAGAAGTAGCATGTGTGGATCAGAACAGTGAACATGATTATGCTTCCTTTTCTCTGATAGCATATCTAATCTGAGATTATTGAATTGAATTGGGTATAGAAAAAAGAGGTGTTGTTGTGCAGTTAAGTGAAATAAAGCTGGTAAAGTTGGTGGGACAGTCCGAATGTCTCTTCCTCTGATCTGTAGTGTAGTCTAGTCTTGTAGCCATGGCATTAAATTATAGGTTATGTCCCTCCTTAGTCCTTAGTGAACAAGTATATGGTACCCTAGCCAAATCAACACCGTCCTTCTGCATTTGCTCCCCGTTTTAATGCCCCCAACCGCTCTCCGTTCTCTCTCACTTTTTTTTTTTTTTTTTTAATACCGTAAAAGGAGGTGGAGAGTAAAAAAACTTAAATATTTTTACTATTCTAAATTTAAGATAAATTTATTTTTAATTTTTTAAATTAAAATTTATTTATTATTTTTAAAATTTTAATTAAAGTCTAAAATCATCAATAACATAATTAAAATTGATAAATTAAAATAGCATCAACTGAATTAATATAATACTTTCACTAACAGAAACATTAGTAAATAAATTATATGTGACAATATTTAATAATTTTTTAACAAAATTTTAGTATAAAAATTATTTTTTTAAAATTTATAAGGACTAATTAGATTAATTTTTTAAAGATAAAAAATAAATTTATCTTAAATTTAATAAATTTAAAACATATTTATACTTATTATAAAAGAGATACGGGTATGTAATCGCTTTTAATCTACAATTTTTAATGGATCATTATATGTCTTAGATATAAAAAAAATCATATTCTCTTTGAATAACTATATGTAATTTTTTAATATTATGTCTGTTTATAACTATTAGAGGTATAATTTAAATAAAAAAATTATATTACCTATAATTATTTGTATTTATTAGATCAAATTTAAAATAATTGTTTATTTATGTATAAAAATAATTTAATATTATTTTATATATTAATTATTTGTATATTAAAAAACTCTTCTATTAAAGTTTTTTTTATTTAATAAAATATATTAATTAAATTTTTTTTAAGAGCATACACTCTACTTGATTAGAAGAAAAATAAGTATTAATTGTGAGAGATGAATAATATAGGATATACACTTTAATTGATTAAAAAATATACAAATATTAATTAGAGATAAGTTATATATGGGTAAGTTTAGGAAAAAACATATACAAATAGGACAAATTTTATTATTATTAACTAAATTAAATACTTTTCTTAATGTTGGTGAATTAGGTGATTAAGGTTTATATATATAGGAAAGAGGTAGTAATATTTTTCTTATTGTTAATTTATTCTTATCTATAAGATCCAACTAAAAATAATTGGTTATTTATATAAAATATAATTCATATTATCTCATATATTAATTATTTTTAGACTAAAATATTATTATTTAAAAGTAGTTTTTTCAATTTGATAAAGTTTATTAATTACAAATTCTTCAAACAATATGCACTTTAATTGATTAGGAGAAAAATAAGTATTAATTATAAGAGAAATATAATATAAAACATACACTTAATTGATTGAAAGATATATAAATATTATTATATTTGTTCTTATATATAAGACCTAAATACATAATTTATCAACATTAAGAAAAGTACTTAATTTAATTAATAACAATAAATTTCTTCTTTCTACATTTTTTCCTCTTAATTAATTATAATACATGCATTTAAATAATTTATAACTAATGTGTTCTAACAAATTAAAAGAATGTGTTAATTAAATGTATTTTAATCTAAAAATATTTAATATATCAAATATTATGAATTAAAATTTATATAAAAATAAATAAATAATTATTTTAAGTTAAGTCTTGTAAATATATAAGTGAGGTAGTAATTAAAAAAAATATTATAAAAATAATTTTAAGAAATTATATAAATAAAATAAATTTATTATTATCAATTAAATTAATTATTATTCTTAACATTTATGAATTAGATAATTAAATCTTATATAGAAACAAATCTAAGATTATTTATATCATCTGAGACATGTATGACATTATTTGTAAATTTTAGTATCACTTAAAATCTATATTACAACTTTAAAAATGTTTATTTTATTTTTATCATTAATTATTATTTTATTTATAAAATTTAAAATATATTAGTCAATGCTATTTTAACTAAAACAATATTAAATTGAGTCACTTAAAAATAATACAACTTAACTCCATATTTAAAATCTATTTGAGATAACTACAAAAATTAAACTATTTTAATAATTAATTATATAAATAATTAATTATTATTATAATCGATTATAATTTAAATAAAATTTTGTTTTGATACATTTTTTGCTAAACTACTTTAAAATGTTTAATTTTGTTTAAATACAATAAAAAAGACAACACTTAGATATAATTTTTTAAAATATAATTAATACTGTTATTTAATTAAAATTACAGATTTATTATCATAATATATATTTACATTTAATGCAAATCTTGTTAATATATATTTATATATATTATTAAGATAAATATTTAATTTTAATTAGAAAATAATATCAATCTCACCTAAAGAATTGTGTGTAAACTTTACTCTAAAAAATCAATTTTAATATAATAAGTCAGCTTAAAAGAAAAGATATTAAAAAAATCATAAACTTTATAAAAACAACCTACTTTTTAAAAAGAAAAGTTATTTATAAATTTAAGCTGTTTTTAAACACAACTTTTTTTCAAGCATCTCACATTCCTATTTGTAATTTTTTTTTATTTAGAGACCAAAACTTTAGATATTTTTAATAATATTGACAATACAAAATCATATAATATTTTTAAAATATGAAAATATATAGAATATTATTGTAATTTGTATTATATAAATTTAATATTTGATATTTTTTATTATGAGATTATATATATTTTATAAATATATATATGTATATATATATATATATATATATATATTAAAAAGATATTATAAACCATTTTTTTCTCTTTCTAATTGTTTTTTAATCCAGCACCGTGAGTGATCGATAACTGATAAGGAGGGTTTGGGTTTAGTTGGTCAGTGATGATTGGAAAAGTTGGGATTAGGGTTGAAACAGTGATAGTAGTACGACATGCGGCTACGCGGATCCACCGACAGACACCGTCACTGCTGCTTGGGATTTCAAGAAAACCCTATGCTAACAGCTAACAACATAACATTAAACATGGAGTGATTCTACTTTTCTTAAGAAAATAATTTTTTTTTTACTTTGTCACGTCCATGCACCATTTGTGACACCCTTACTACCCCAACTTATATTGTAATAAATGCCTGTCCCCTGCATCCCCAATGGGTCCTTCTTCTTCGTCTTCGTCATCCCCAAAATGGTCGTGCAAGGCCTGCACTTTCTTAAACCCTTACAACAACCCCTCTTGCCAGGTTTGCGGCACTCGCTGCCTCTCCAATCTCAAAGACTTGGATGACGCTACTGAACACGATTCTTCTGTTGGCTCTGTTTTCTTCCCTCTTCGACCCTGCAACAAGAGAAAGGCCATCAACGACCACGATTCTTCTGAGAGGGTCAATCTCTGCCTGTCCCCTGCATCCCCAATGGGTCCTTCTTCTTCGTCTTCGTCATCCCCAAAATGGTCGTGCAAGGCCTGCACTTTCTTAAACCCTTACAACAACCCCTCTTGCCAGGTTTGCGGCACTCGCTGCCTCTCCAATCTCAAAGACTTGGACGACGCTACTGAACACGATTCTTCTGTTGGCTCTGTTTTCTTCCCTCTTCGACCCTGCAACAAGAGAAAGGCCATCGACCACCACGATTCTTCTGAGAGGGTCAATCTGAAGCTCAAGCTATCCCAAAAGGCTACCGATATCACCGGTGATGGTGAGAGAGCGTGTTTCTATCATTCTATGCCTTTTATCGGTTATTTTATAATGTCTGCGTGTTTTTTATGAACAACTTTAATACGTGGCAGAGGATACTGATTCAGGAAAAGATTTTAGTTCGTTTAAGATATTGAGTTACAATGTTTGGTTCCGGGAAGACTTGGAGTTGCACAAGAGGATGAAGGCTATTGGCGACCTTGTTCAATTGCATTCGCCTGATTTAATTTGTTTCCAGGTTTTACTCTTTCTTCTTTGTTGCGGTTTTGAATATATGTGGCTTTGTCTAATGTGGACCGCTACTGCTTCAGGAAGTTACTCCCAATATATATGACATTTTCAAGCAATCCACATGGTGGGGTGTATATCGTTGTTCTGTTTCTTCTGAGATGGCTTATTCAAGACCCTACTTTTGTATGCTGGTTAGTTTCATATCTTTCACCCTTTGCACAGGATTTGAACCCAATGATATATATACCTTTATGGTGCATTTATTTTGATAATGTGGTTTTTGTTTCAAATTTAATATCCTTCACCATTTCAGGTGTGATTGGCACATTTTTTGTTTTTTCTGCTAACATGTAATGTAGTTTGTTTTGTTCGCTGGAGTCTTTAGAAAATAGGACCACATTTGTTCATGCTCACATAGTTGATAACTCTGCTTTAATGGATCTGTTTGTTTAATTTTTTTTTCCTATAAAAGCATTCCTTTTTAATAGAATAAGCACTTTATATATATTTTTTAAATAAGCAGTTTTCTGCTTTTTTTGAAAAAGCAACTCCTATCTGTCTCTTAAAGAATTTTTTATTTTTTTAAATTTGTTTAGAAACACTTATTTTTAAGTTTAAACAAATAGACCCAATATTTTATGATAAAGATAATTGCCGTGATGTTTTATCCTTTGAGCTTGGTGTTGTGGTTTTGGCATTTAGTGGCTTATTTGCTTAAGCTGGAGGTGTTTTTGCAT